CAATTTCTGAAACATATTTTAGAAGGTATACAAGACTGCCCGAATGAACATTTGACCACTTGACTGGTGAACACAACCTTAACTCCTCAAAACAAGCTCAAACTCAAGCACAAAACTCCAAAAACTTCCACTAATTACAAAAATAAAAACATAATACAACAAATGCAATAAACAAGGTTGAATCACATTCTCATCAATGTTTTGAAATCCGAATCAGTGAGCGAATCAGAAAATAGTTTGGGTGGATAGATTATTAGTTCAACCGTCAGGTCAAACCGAATTGAACCGTGACGTCATAAATAATAATACAATAAATAAAATTTAAAAGTTATTCTTATATTATTAATTTATTTTAAGTTTAATATTCTAACTATTTATGAAAAAAAATCAAAATCAAAATGGTATAAATAGTCAACTTCTTGTACATATTACACAATTACAAAGCTAACTTAATGGTTGTATTGGATTTGTACATGCACAATGTCATGGTTCAACTCTCGCTCTATGCTTTTTAGTGAGGCATTTTACACTTTGAAGCATCAATGACCCAGGCGATTTGCTTTAACCAGTATTAGATTCACCGGTTCAACTGCACTTTAAAACGAGTTTGGGGGTTGAACCAAACTAGAACTAGGACTAGTCAATGATTCAACCAATCGAACCAGCCAGTCTGGTATGATTTTTAAAACAAACAAACAAACAATTGACTTTGTAAACCGTTTTAATCCATGGAACCAATTACAGATAGTTTGAACTTGAATAAATGATCATTAAGAGTAGGACTTGGAAACTCGAAATATTACACTATCTTTACAATGATGATTGTGCTGAAAGTTATGCCACAAAAGTTCTTTGCATTTTTGTAAAAGTAGGGCAAAAATAGGGTATCAATTGTCATATGTGTAGCTTGCTTTTTGTGCTTCTTTCGGATACGATAAATGGGGTGTCTACAATATGTAGGTTCATTGAGTACCAGAGCTGGAAAGTGTAAAAGTGAGATGAAAAAAGTGCAAAAATTGGACCTCGACTTTATCCGCTTGAGTACATTATTTGCATCACATGAGCAATCCAACTTAAAGTCAAATTCCAATCGACAAGTGGATTTGCCTCATTTTGCGTGACTTAATTGACGAAAATTAGTTGTAAGTTATAATAGGAGACTCAAAACTCGATTTTAGAATTCCGAAGCTTGAAAAATATATGGTTTGAAGTTGAACATGTGCTTCTGATCATTAATCCATGGTATTTTCTTCAATCTCTGTAAGTGGTTAAACTCTCTTTTTATGATTGAGTTGAAGCCTTAGTAAAGTAATATATAGATGTGTATTTTGAATTTTAGTTTTCCATTAAATCGGATAATCGTTGTATGAAATTTTAGGATCTTTGAACTTATAAGCTGTATGAGTGCGAAATAATCAGTCTCGTATAATCCTATTGATCAAGTTTGTACTCCTCTAAATGTCGTTGTCGTATCACCTGAAAACACGCGTAAGCTAACTGGCGGGTGTGTGTCAAAAACCCCTCCGATGCCTAAGTCAGCAAGTAAACAATAGACAATAAGCTCTATGTATTTTTTAGTAAGAATTGCAATACTTGTGCATAGGTTATGTCATGAGTTTTTATAAATTCTGCTTGACCCAATCCTAGTAGTACTCTTACTCTCTTTAGCAGAGTCCTCCTAAGAGTCTCATGCCCAAGAATAACGTTTATCCTTAGAACACCCTCATCACTGCAAGCCAAGTGAGATGGCAACACTCTGTTCGGCCATTGCTTTCCCCAATCGAACTACTTCGCTCTAATCTTCCTCTAACCGAACAACCCAATCCGCCAACTGATGAGGTGCCAAGCTGTAACAACCCCGGTCTGTAATTAGCTACTAATTCGTAATTAAGAATGCTAACTAAGTGTTCAGAATGGAATTATGTGTTATTATTGATTGTGATATGTGCTTTGTAGTAATTTGTGCATATCTATCTGATTTGAAAATTATTTGTCATGATTTCTACTTTGAATCTGAAATTGTTAGCCTAAATGCTTTCAGAAGCCGAATTGAGCACGTAGATTGACTAATTAGAATTTTTAGAACCATCTGAAAAGTTTTGTTAAAAATTGATTCAGTTTGATAAAAATCGCATGAGATTAAATTAAGCCTAAATTGGAACTATTTTTAAGTAATTGAATTTTGTGCTAACCTAGACTAATTAAGGTTACTTGTGTTTGATTTAAATGATGCATGATTAGTACCTAATCTAATCCTATTAATGATCCAAGATGTGATTAAGTGTATGATGTGCTAAGTCATTTTGTGGTGTTGAGTGTATAGGATTAAAACTCTTGTGGGTGTGTTAGAATTATGCATGTGTGTGCACGTGTATTGTGCTCAAAGTGAGGTATGTGTTGTGTTTATTCTGCTGAGAGTTAAGGGAATGTTGTATCATTCATTTGGCTTCATTGAGTTCATCCATGTCTTGAGCTAGAGAGAGAGATAGCTCATTCTAGTGAGAAAGAGCTCACAAGTTTGAAGAAGAAGAAGAAAACTAGGAAATTCATCTCACATTTCTGAAGTAAAGCCTTGGGTAAGGATTCTATGTCTAATTTCTGTAGCTATTCCTCTATGCATCATGATTTCATCAAGTTATTGAGCTAATTTCATGATATTTGTAAGGAAATGGGTATTTGATCAAGATGATGACTTGCATGTAAATTCTTGGAGATTAATCTTTGATTTTGTCATGTTGAGTTTGAGTTTTAAAGGCCTTGCATGCATGTGAGCTTTAATCTTGTCCATGGTTCCAGAATTCACGAGTTCGTTGGTCACCATTTGCATGTTTTGAAAAACCATGGAAGAGTTGAAAAATATTGCATGAAGAAGTTTTGGTTCAAACCTTTCAAGAATTGATGAGTTTTTGAATAATAGATGTTTCAAGGGTCTTGTATTGAAGTTTTCTAAAGCTATTTTGTGTGTTTGATCAAATCATGCAAGACCCCAAGGTTTGAAGGTGGTTTAGAAGCCATTTTTGTTAAGCTTACTGCCCAGAAATTTACAGTTGGCTCGAGCGAAGAAGTGGTGGCTCGAGCCAACATTTCGAGCTCTCAGAATTTTGAACTCTGCAAAAGTTGGCTCGAGCGAAGAAGTCCTAGCTCGAGCAAGCTCTGTTTTTGCCTTCTGCTGGCTCTAGCCAAGAAAAGCTGGCTCTAGCCACCAGCTTATTTTCAGCATGTTTTCAAAAGATGTTTTAAGTGCATATCTCACTCCCATCTCTTTATGGGCATTCTTAGGCATGAGTTATGAACCGTTAAAGATTAATAAGCTAAGAAATAACATAAGTAAGTGAATTAGAAAATATGTGTTGAATCCGAGTATATTGGCAATATGAACAAGTTATGTAGCATGGAATGAATAGGCAATTAAAGTGAGAAAGCTACGCCGTGTTGGCCATTTGAATATATAATGATAAGACATGCTTGTGTTATGTATTTTGTGATTGTAGGTCAAGACTCGAGAGTTGATTGATCGTTACAGGAAGCCACTGTGAGTAACGTTATTGTAAAGATACGTTCATATGAATTACGTTCCAAATGAAATATGATAAGTTCTGATTTCTGAAATGATATATGTTTTCGAGAACGAATATTCCATGTTTGAAATCTATTATGGCATCCATAGATAGTCCCAAGTCATGGGGGATGACATGAAAATGCAGGTCCATGACATACTTGTGTTTACGAGATCTCGTTAGCCACTTCATTGTGGTGATATGTGTTTAATCGGTATCCGGAACCGATTACTCTAGACAGAAGACGTTATGTGATGTGTTCTATGGGATGTACCATTATTATGTTCTGATATGAGAATGATTATGCTACGATCTGTTTTACGCTTATGATATATTCGGATTTCGTTCACTAACATATTTACCTTAATGTTATTCATTGGGCTTTAGCTCACTGTGTGTATATATATATATATGTAGGTGAGCATTCTGGAGTTCGAGCCTGAAGGCTTTTGTTCGGATCTGTGTTCTGTTATCAGCCAACCATTGTGCCTTACGTGGAGGTTCCCGAAGAGTCCTGTGTTTAAGTTTTGTTGTTTCTGTACATATAAGACTTGGTAGTTTTGTTGGTTGTACTTAAGATACTTTAATGTGTGTGGGTATAATGTATGAATGACTATTACATACTTATATAAAGTTTTAAATATTCTGTTCATATAAGTCAGCACATCTCATTGGACAACTATATTTATGTATCTGCTTCTGCGAGCCCCTTAATCTTGTTAATCTGTTCAGAGGCCTTCGGTAGTCCAAGGATTACTGGTTGGTTACGATGCTAAACCTATAGGGGTGGGTTTGGGTTGTGACACAAGCTAAACCTAGCTTGGCCTTCTTTATTGAAGCCAACTCGGTTCGCCAAGATCTGTACCTCTATAGCCCAGTCCAAGCCCCATCAACCCCTTGTTGGTGGACCTAGAGCCCACGCGGCCTGAAACCAGGCTATCTAAGCCCTTACCTCACTGTTCGACTTAACTCTCCAAGACCATTTCCTTTGCTCAGCCCAATTTGTTTACACAAATTATCCTGTCATAAGCGATACCAAAAAAATACAATTTACTTCACATTTTTCATATAGTAACATTAGTCTCTCTTAATATTTTAATTCACATAATAGTTAGATAATTTGTTCATTGTATGAATGAAAACATATTGTCATGTTTTTTCTACTAAAGTATATATATTTACTTTTGTTTATTTCAATGTCTCTACTCATCATTTACATTAATTTTGATTGCTTTAGTTCTACTTAAAAAAATATATTAATGCAACCATATAATAAATATGAGATTAATGATATTAATTTTAAACCTTGAGTAAATAAATTTAAGGCAGGTTACTGGTGTAATTTCATCAAACTTTTATATGCGCTGTAACTTCCTTATTAGTCGAGAATGGCGGTGTAATTTACCAAAATGTTACTCCATATGTGTTTATTTATTTATCATTCCATTCTGTCGAGAGGATAGAATGTAATGCAGCTTGAGTATTTCTCTGTTCTTCCAAAACTTAATTGTAGAGGAAGAACAGACTACTTATTCTGCTTCAGGTCGATGCTTACTTCCCCTTGAAGGTTATCCTCACGATAAAAAAAATCTACTCCAGATATACGAGACCTTAACATTTATTTATATACTCCATATATAATAATATAACACTCGGAGGGTTTCGTGATAAACTTGTTTTCAGCCAATTCCAAGCAAATCTCTCTCTCTCTCTCTCTCTCTCTCTCTTCACATCATTGATTGTTTCCTCTATCTCTTCTTTATCGTCTTGGCTGTAAGTTTAAGATTCTAGCTGAACCCTTCCTCGGATTTTCATTGTTTAATTTTTTCTGTTTTTAATGTATTGTTTCTTATTCTGTTTTCCACTGTAGGAATTGATTGATTCAATTTTTTTCTGAGACGAATTAAGATTTTGTGCCGTCAAATTTAGGGTTTGTTGATGATATCTTTTTTTTTTTTTTGGGTAGGTATTTGTTGATGGTATCATTGGATGTTTTTCCAAGATTTGGGCGTTTGTTTTTGCAGATTTCTATGGTGGGTCGGACGTAAATAGGGTTTTTTTTTTTTTTGGTTTATTTTTTGGGTGTGTGGGTCTGTTGAAAATTTAGCTGTAATTGCTGATTTCCTTGGTGGGTCTGAGATATTTAGAGTTTCATTGTGCAAAATTGCAAAATTGGATTTTCATCGATAAGATACTTTTTGGGTTTGTTAGATTTTGGGCTGTTTTGTAGATGTCAATGGTGGTGCGGAAATAATTGGGTTTAATAGGGGCAAAGCCTGGAATTGGAAAATTTTCTATTTGGGTGAGGGTATGTCTGGGAAGAGGTGAATTGGTTGTTCTATGTTAATTGTTGAGTTGGGTCATTGTTTGATATCGTTACTTGGTAATTGTTGAATCAGTTGTTAGATCCTGATAATTGTGTTTTCTGGGTGTGGAGTCCATTGTTTCTTGAGGATAGGATGAGTTCAAATGTGTCAGAAGCTATAGTTCAGAGAGGCAAACTTCTTGTTCATATTGCCGAGAATGGACACTCGTTTGAACTTGAGTGTGATGAATATACTGTTGTTGAGGCCATCCAACGGTTCCTAGAATCAGTGTCTGGGATACCCTTAAATGACCAGCTGCTTTTGTGCTTGGACATGAAACTTGAGTCACAGCGGCCACTTTCAGCCTATAAACTACCATCTGATGACCGTGAAGTGTTCTTGTTCAATAGAGCGAGGATGCGGAGTAATTCGATTGATGCTGCCTGCTGCAGAGCAAGTTGAAATCCTTGAAATTCCAGACCTTCCATCACCATCCTCCTCCCATAACCCCCACCCACTGGATGATGCTTCGGACCCTGCACTGAAGGCATTGCCTTCTTATGAGAGGCAATTCAGGTACCATTACCAGCGTGGACATGCCATTTACAGTTGCACACAAGTGAAATTTGAGACTTGTGAGAGACTCTTAAGAGAGCAGCAGGTGCAAGAGAGGGCATTAGAGATTGCTCGGGGTAATTTGGATCATTTCTACAAGATGATTCTCCAAAATTACATGGATTTTATGAAATGCTACTCACAGCAGCATCGGAGCCATTCCAATCTTCTGGTGAATTTTGGGAGAGAGATAGAGAAATTGAGATCTTGCAAACTCCTTTCTGTTTTACAAACAAATTCACGCAAGTGCTTATTTGATTTTGTGAAGGAAGAAAGCTTGCGAAAGGTGGTAGAGGATTGTAGCAGTTCACACAGGCAGTTTGAGAATAAGGTTTTGGAATTTAAACAGGAATTTGGAGAACTAAAACGCAGTGCTGAACAGTTGTTTACTAACAAAACTTCATTTCTTATTAGGGAATTGGAACTTAAAATCAAGGAGCACCAGCGATATATTGATGAGCAAAAACGTATAATGCAAGCTTTAAGGTTCCTCTCTTTCCTACTGGTTCCTTTTTATTCCCATTGTCATTTGTTTTAAAATTGCATATTTTGCTTATTTTAAATGTCTTGCTTGTTTTAAAATTTGCATGGGTTGTAGCCATTTGGTCGTATTGAAATCTGATATGTTTTTTTTGTTGTTGATAACTCAGTATCTGGTCCATTGGACCAACTAATGGTTGAAATCTGATATTTATTTTAATGGTTGTGCTTATTCATTTTATACCCATATTCATTGGGCTGGGCATGTGACATTTTACAATTTTTCCCCTCTTTATGTGTATATTGTGAATAATTCACCTATGGGGGTGTTTACATATAGTTCACCTAAGGAATCTGTGTAGTGCAAGATAAATGATAGGTTCAAGCAGCTTAACAAGTTATTGAATTTTTGTTTTTTTAGCATGTTTGGGTTCGAACCTTTTTTTTAGACTATCTCTGACTTGAGTTGAAAGGTTCTGTTTCTTGTTTTTTTGGTAGGTGGGGGTGGGGGGTGCGGGTGGGGAATGTGGGGTTGGGTTGGGGTTGTCTACATGAGCGCATTTGGGAAAGATCTTCTATGCTTTGATGCCTACATTCTGCAAAGCAAGTTCATGATTTTGACATTGTTCAATTAATGCCAAAGCAAGAAAGAAAAATGAGGGGAAACAAAATAAAAAATAAAGGAAACATAAGCTGAAAACATGAGCAGTGGAATGCATGTTAAATGTTTGCAAAGGTCTGCATGCGAACCCCCGTGCTAGGGAGGAGGGGGCAAATTGAGGGTGGTACCAACCTAATGTTATTGTAGATCTTGTCAAATTTGTTTTGTTTCTTTATCTATCCAAAAGAAAGGAGACAAAAATGAAGGTCTATAGCCAATGTATAATTTGTACGAGCTTAGTTTTTGTTCTGATGCTGTGGGGCTTCATGTGATTGCTTCATCTGACTAGAGTTCATAAGCCATGTTTTAGAAGACACTTTCTACTGTTCATGCACCAAAATAAATATTGTGTTTTATTTATCCCATTTTGCAAATTCCTACATGGCATATGAGTTCATACTGCATCATCTCATTATGCAAATTCTTACCTGTTGTAGGAGGTCATACTATGTCATTTGCAAGTGAAATACTAAGGGCTCCTTCGGGAATTGGCTATTTTATTTGTCTTTTTATAGAAAGACGTGCAGAAAAGTATAACTCATTGATAAGGCCTTTTTGTAGAAGGCATTGTAAAAGAAGGTTTCAGAAACCATAGTGTATTGAAAACTATTCAGTGTGTTTGGTTTCAATTTTTTGAATTCAGTTTTCTGAAAACTGAGCTTTTTGTTTTTCGTCTGTTTTTTTTTTTAGTGTAAAATTTTAAACATTTTTTTTATACTTTTTTAGATGCACCTTACTTAGATGTATCTAAAAAGTAAAATATTTGTGAAAATATATTTTAAAAAATTAATAAATACACAAAAATACAAAAAATATACTGAATTTTTTTTTGTGTGTATTTTTGGTATTTAGTGAATTCTTTAAAGATTTTTTTCATGAAATTATACTTTTTAAGTGTATTTATGTTAGGTGTGTCTAAAAATTAAAAAAATTACTTAAAATATTAAAAAAAATTCAGTAAAAACAAAAAAATATGAAAAATAAGAAAGTAGAATTTTTTGAGAAGTGTTTTCAAAAACACAGGAAACAAACATAGTGATTACTCTTTTTTTGGGTGGGTAAGTAAAATTTTGTAACCAAAAAAAAAAGATATACAATAGGCTCAATAACAGTCTGGAAAGGCACAACAAGCCCTTTAACATGAGGAAACCACCACCACTAGGGGTGGGCGTGGGTCGATTGCGGCCACTGAACCTCCAATCCGCCATCCGTCTGCTAGATTGGTCGATTGGAGAAAATCAATCCGCATCCGTCCGCCAATCTGGCGGATGTGGATTGAGCAGTTTGGCGGTTTAAAATTTTATAAATTTTCAATATAATTCAACTTGTGTACTTCCTCAAAAAAAGAAGAATAAAGTATTACAGTCAATGAGTTAAAAAAATATTACAATCACTGCATGTCTCATCCAAAGCAAAAAAGTTTGAAACTTAAGCAAAAAAGTTTGAAACTTTAGAATATCACAATCACTGCATGCCTCATCCACATACTATAATCACAGCATGCCTAATCCACATAAAGTATTATAATCTGTGGTTCTTAAAATATAAAAACAATTCAAACAATTAAAATCATGAACAAAGTAGTAGTAGAGATTGTATGTCTCTGTATTGTTACATAACCAAACCAAACGAAGCCTTAAGTCCCATCAAATGGGGTCGGCTACATGAATCCTTCTTTTCCACGAGGCCTTATCAAAGGTCATTTCATTGGTCAAATTAAGTAGATTCATAACTCTATTTATAACGCTAGTCAACGTTAATCTAGGCCTACCTCGTCCCCTAACACTTCCATCTACCGTTACAGCATCGCATCTCTTCACTATACTTTTTTAGATACACCTTACTTAGATGTATCTAAAAAGTAAAATATTTGTGAAAATATATTTTAAAAAATTAATAAATACACAAAAATACAAAAAATATACTGAATTTTTTTTTGTGTGTATTTTTGGTATTTAGTGAATTCTTTAAAGATTTTTTTCATGAAATTATACTTTTTAAGTGTATTTATGTTAGGTGTGTCTAAAAATTAAAAAAATTGCTTAAAATATTAAAAAAAATTCAGTAAAAACAAAAAAATATGAAAAACAAGAAAGTAGAATTTTCTGAGAAGTGTTTTCAAAAACACAGGAAACAAACATAGTGATTACTCTTTTTTTGGGTGGGTAAGTAAAATTTTGTAACAAAAAAAAAAAGATATATAATAGGCTCAATAACAGTCTGGAAAGGCACAACAAGCCCTTTAACATGAGGAAACCACCGCCACTAGGGGTGGGCGTGGGTCGATTGTGGCCGCTGAACCTCCAATCCGCCATCCGTCTGTCAGATTGGTCGATTGGAGAAAATCAATCCACATCCGTCCGCCAATCCGGCGGATGTGGATTGAGCAGTTTGGCGGTTTAAAATTTTATAAATTTTCAATATAATTCAACTTGTGTACTTCCTCAAAAAAAAAAGAAGAAATTATTACAGTCAATGAGTTAAAAAAATATTACAATCACTGCATGTCTCATCCAAAGCAAAAAAGTTTGAAACTTAAGCAAAAAAGTTAGAAACTTTAGAATATCACAATCACTGCATGCCTCATCCACATACTATAATCACAGCATGCTTCATCCACATAAAGTATTATAATCTGTGGTTCTTAAAATATAAAAACAATTCAAACAACTAAAATCATGAACAAAGTAGTAGTAGAGATTGTATGTCTCTGTATTGTTACATCTATATCTATTTTTGAAAACAAAAACCAACTAGCATATATCATATTTTCTATTTATTATTTTTAGAGATAGATTTAAAAATAAAAAAATATAGATAAATAATACGTTTATTTTTTTCAATTCAAAAAAGATATTCAAGCTGAAAACTTTTTTTCAACAAAATATTTAAATTCTTTTTTAATTGAAAATACAAACAGAATATTTAAATAAACTCAAAACACAAAGTCTTATAAATTACCGTGATTTGGCGATTCGGTTGCGGTCAAAGGAATCTCAAATCCGCCATCCGTCCGCTAGATTGACGGATTGGAGAAAATCAATCCGCAATCGTCCGTTCGTCATCACGCATCCGTCCAAAATGCGGTAGATCGGCTCGGTTCGGTTGGTTTTGACAGATCGGTATATCCGCTGCTCACCCCTAACCACCACCACAACAACAACAACAACAAAAAATCCATAAGCACTACAAAATGAACTATCACAACTTGAGAGCCTAGGAAACAAGAAACACAAAAGCAAAACCTCTCACAACTCGAGAGACTGGGTTACTTTTCTGCTCCCACCTTGTCCACGCTTAGAACTTATATATCAAGAGGGAAGGTTATCCCACAAGCCGACTTCAAAATGTCAAGCTTCCCTTTCAAATTTTTATGGTTTTCTCCTTGAGAAGTCAAGGGATTGCCAACCTGATTTCACTTTGACTTGAGGGGAGACAAGAATCAAGAACACTAAACATGTTAGCACTCTGAGAAGCTTCAAACGCTTTAGATAGATCTTCCATTTGTTACTTTGCATCCTTGTCATTCTCACACCAATGTTCTTTCAATAGCACGCTTGGTTGGAACCTCAACCCAATCACTCAAGGAGGCTTTATTAATGACCTCTTTTTTCCTTCATTATTGCTTTATGGTAGTTGTAACAATAGGAGAAGAAGGGCATGCTTGTTGGTTGTGCCCAAAAATTTTTGCAATTCAAAGACCTTTTCGGCCTCCAAAGAGTCTCTACCCTAATTTCGTAGGGTTCTCCATAACCCAAATCAAGATTAAAAGACTTTGGGATGTCATACGAAGCTTGGATTTGCCAAATCCAAGCATATGCAAGTCTACTCCTAGAGTGAGTAGCTGAATCGATATTTAGTGGTTTCCCAATTGCACTAGCAACAAAGCTTAGTCCCTCCTTGGCCTAAAGTTCAAGCCGGACATTAAAATATTAACCCATATCAGGGCGCTAGAGAATTCTTGTTTTTTCAGTTGCACTCTCAGGTATCAATGTTTAACTATTAAAAGTTTCCTTAGCGGGATGAACCATTTTTAAGAATTTTAGCAACCATTTCTTCATCTTGGAATTTTAAAGATTAAGAAACCATTATCAAGAGCAAGAACCTCAACAATCATTTTTTCATAATTTGTCAGCACAATTCTTAACAAAAATGAAAGGGTAATTTTTTGCTTGAAAAGTACCCAACTAAAGCATGATGCCATTGAGACAAACTTCTCTTAGAAATATTAGAGTGAACACTGACATTCTCCCCTTGCTTAACCAAGTCTATATTATTGGGTTTAAGACTCAAATCCATCGGAGTTTCTATGCAAGGTTTTTGAAATAAAGAAGCCCAAATAGAGATATTGGGTTTACCCAATAGCGGAGCCGGCTAGGGGGGTCACGTGCCCCCCTCAGTTTTGATTGATTTTTTTTGCATTGTTTTCACACAATATGTAGTTTATTTGGTACTCTTGGAGTGTCATTTGGTGTTATTTATGTGGTGGTCTAAATCAACAATATAGTGTCAAATTTTATGAATGGAACATAGTAACTCATTATTGTTAGGTAATTGGAAGATAATAGGTGAATCACTTTGTGTGAGTTGCGATTTCTTATATCCAAAGTATCACGTCATTAACACCACATAATAATATGGGATAATGTAATAATTTCTATTCAAAACACATTTTTATAATCAATGCTATCTCTCTAATATTGTTCTATAAAATAAAAATTTTATAATGATTTGTGCTATAAATGATTTGCTTCTATTTTCTAAAATTAAGAATTTTAATTTGTAATTTTTGTGCTAAAATTGCATACTTACATTACTATTGTGTCCGAGTTATTCCATATTATTGTAAAATTTTGATTAGTTGCTATTAATAATAAATAATTAATTTTTATGCTTAAATTTAGCTCATAAAATTATTATTATTTTATTGTTGATCATCAAAAAAAATTAAAATTATAAAGTGCCTCCTCTACCTTAATTTCTTGGCTCCGCCACTGGGTTTACCTGTATCACTTGCCCCATTTATAGTTATTGTAGTTGATCCATCATTCAAAGAATTAGGCCCAACAAGCCTATCTGATTGCACTTGATCTAAATCTACCAATTCTAGATTATCTGGTTGGGCACTAGACCCAATTTTGTTTACCTCGAAAGAAGCACTTTTCACATCACCAAGCTCTTGGACGCACGTACCGGACCATGCGTGGACCTCACACGCCGCCTTCACTACATTCTTGACGGCCATAGAAGCCAACAGGCTAGACTCTCCACTCATTCCCGTTGATTGCAAACCCACCATTGCAACATCCTTAGAGACACCATCCTAATTTTTCTTATACCTTCTATCTATCATCCTATGGCTTGCCTCAGTATTCAACTAATCCCCCATAGGAGTACTGACCAAAGGGACCCCATGGCTAAAGCCGGCCATATCTCCCAGTTAATTAGAGACTGTATTGAAGTATTCCACACGTATTCCCCCTTCATCGAAACATCCTTTGTTGTTAACCATATTGATGCTCTTCAATGGCTCTTGTTGTGGGGGAACAATGTTACCACACAAGCATAGTCCCACACAATCGCAGAAATCTCCATTGTTTGTGACTCTATATCCGATTCAGCTGGGGATGTTGCTATTTTCTTTGAGCCCGCAACTGCGAGAATGACGCAATCTATTCCATGGAACAACGAAATCTCCATCCGCTAGAGCTTTGCAGGTTCTCTGAAATGTGTAAATTGACGGAGTGCCTCATCCTACCCATCAGTAAATAGAAACCTTTCTTGATGAGATTTTGGATTTTTTTACCCATAATCAACCGGTATACAAGGTGTTTGATGAAAAGCTAAACAGAAAACCGAACCACATATCTTCCTTTCCTCCTATTCTCTTTCTAAATGTTGGATTTTACCAAGTATCGATTATAGTTTGAGAGGAGAGAGAGTACAGAGAGAAGTTCTTCAAGGGAAAAAAGGCCATTTCCTCGTTTAGGGTAGTTCTACCACTTTGTTCGCTGGTTAGAGTAGTTTTTTCACTTTATTTTGAATAGAGGGTAAATGTGTTTGTGAAAAACGCTTTCATGAAAATGTGGTTGATAAATAATAATATTGCTCAAATGCATTAATCAACTATTATGAAAAATCACATTTAGTAAACACTTTTAATTAAACAAGTGTGCCATTTGCCATAATGAAACAACGTACTTATCAAACGCATGTTTAGTAAGCATGCTTTTAGTATTCATTTTTTTTTATACAAGTCTTAGTCCACAAATGTGGGGCTTTGAACTAAATGACTTTTTATTATTTTTTTATCCAGGAATTATTTAAGAATATGTCAAAACTTAAACTATTTCCCAATTTCAAGTTTTGTTGACTTGTAAAATAGGTTTTTGTTCCTCACATAAAGCAAATTATGGTGGCATCTCATTAATTAACTGTTCTCATTCATATTAGAATTGACAAAAATTTTCAAATTAAATTCAGCAAACCTCAAAAACTAACTGTTGGGCTCACCTATAGCCATGGAAATGCTTAATCACTGACAACAAGAAATGAGGATTGTTTTTTTTTATTGTTTTTTTTAATTAGGGGATTAAGGCAAAAATTCATATGAACTTTTTTTGGAGTTTTGAATAAAAAAAAATTGCATAAAATAAAATTTCAAAGCGATCCACTACAAAATATAAAAGGAAAGGAAAAAAAAAAAGCACGGACATATTTATAGAGTGTAGTCAGGATGTGAATCTGTGTGGAAAAGATGTGAAATAGATTTTTGGAGCAACATAAGGTTACAATAGAATAAGTAAATGAATAAATCTTGGAAACTAGTTTTTATAGTTTGGGTTAAGCTCATCCCCTAATTGATCTGCTTTGATAATTTACTGAGGGTACAAAATGAAATGTGTGATCTTAGCTTATAAACTGGCTTATTTTGTGAACATATTTTTGTTTTTAGTGAATTTTATTTTAATTTTGAGGCAATCTTTTTTTTCTTGTAGGTTGGTCTACTCTAGAAGATCCTAATATTTGACAATCTTTAACTTAGTTATCACAGCAAACCTATATTAACTTGTAAATGACTATGCATATATTGATTATTAACTAAAGGGATGAACTAAACCAAAACTGGTCCCTATAAATGACACCAACATGAGTCAATGCGACCTCTAGGCCAAACTGAACCCTCTACATGCTACCCTATGGGAACTTGGCCATCAACAATTCTGCGCCTCCTAGACAAGGCAATGTGGATCAAACTCTCCCACACCCAAACATGTAATAATTGAAGATAGTATATGTCAATACATAAGACGTTATAAAACATAATACCTGAATAACTACGTGTACATGACTATTAAAGCAATTGTGACTTATCTGTAACAAGATAAGTGGGCCACCGATCTACTTTGCATTGGGCTTAGTTGCCCGAGACAACATCCTATATAAACACGCCAATGTAGCGCCACCCCAATTGTACTTGACGATCTTGTTGATGTCTCTTAGTAATGGCAAATACATCAATTTAACTAGGTTTTGTGACTTATCGGGGTCAAGGCACCCCCAATAAGCCGCAAAATATATGCTATAGCGATGTATTATCTCCTCTGTCGCATCCTCAGGAAGCACATTGAAATGCTATAGCCATGGCTGCTGGTGCTGCTCCCAACAATTACGTATAAATCCACCCACTGCTTGATCGTATATGATGGGTCAGTGCCAGTAACAGGGTCGCCATCAACAGGTAGGATGAATAGCACAAATACATCTTGCAACGTGACTCTGGCCTCACCGATAGGAAAATGGAACGTAAGCGTCTCCACGTGCCACCTCTACGAGAGCTGTGATGTGTGGGTGGTCCAATCTAACTGGTCTTATATGGTAGACCCCGTAGAAGCCTGCACGAATTAGGTAATGCAGTACTCAATGGTCCAATGGGGTGCCTCACAAACCACCATTTGCTCGTCGACATGTCAACAATGACTGCTTTTGCTCCTGCATAACATGAGCAAGTGTATATTAATATTTGTAATAGACAACCGAACTCAAGCATGAATTACAATGAAAAAAAGAAGAATCCAAACTGAATGATGCCATATACTATCTTCTCGATGGGGATGAATCAGCAACAGAACCTCCTACGGTAGATAAGCCATAAAGCCTGCAAATGTTTTCATATATCAAATCAATGAAAACAACAATATCATGCGTATTTAAAGTATAGAGAGTCACGGACAACATATTCAAAGGGTAGCATCAAATGAATCAAATAAAGCAATATCACGTGCTTACAAAGTATAGAAAGTCACAGACAACAAATTCGAAGGGTGGTATTAAATGAATCAGATAAAGCAATATCACAGGCATCAAATCAGCCACATAAACCAACTAAATTATCATAGTGAATCATCTATTCTACATGTTGATAAATTATTGTTACCCCAACTATGATATATGAAAACATAACAATAGACATATACCTCAAGTCTAATATTTTGTATCAACAATGTCTTCAAGATGTGCATACAATTCGCATTGTCAGCCACTTCCTAAAGTGTGGCTACTACCTCCATTTACGTATGAATACTCGAGTCCCAAGGATTATCATGCTGGTATTCGTGCTGAATGGGAGTTTAAGGTGGCAGAACAAGAGAGATTGTGTTATGTAACTTAGGGTTTTTTTTCCATCTTGTCTATGTCTGATTGTAAAGGCTTCATGCTCAAATTGGTGCTTATGTTTGTTCTATTTGAAATATTAATTGCTTGTTTTTATTATCTTTCATTCAAGGATTCAGGAACTTATTAGTTTTATAATGATTTGATGCTTAATCTGCTTGAAATAAGATAATTATGAGGTCATTTTAAGAGGTGTTTCAATGGATGCTGATTTTTTTGGTTTGTCCTATTAACCTTTAGCATTAATGAATTACTTAGTTTAGAGTGCTCAGCGTTCTCTATGTCTCTTCTGTTTATGTCAATACTAGTACTCAGTTTTGCTCTGTTGTGGTTATGTATATTATATATTTTGCTTTGATATCAAAATTTGTTTATATTTGTGCAGCAAAGATGTAAATACAGTGAAGAAACTTGTGGATGACTGTCTGACTAGCCGATTATCCTCTTCCCTCCGTCCTCATGATGCAGTTTCAGCCTTGGGTCCTATGTATGATGGCCATGACAAAAATTACCTTCCTAAGATGCAGTCTTGCGAACGTGCAATTTCCAATCTGCTTGATTTCTTCACGGAAAAAAAGAATGACATGAACATCGTTGTGCACAGTTACATGCAAAAGATAGCATATGTTCAATACACTATCAAAGATGTGCGCTACAAGTTTTCTGTTTTCACAGAAGCAATTAAGCGTCAGAATGATCAATTTGAATACTTGAAAGTGGTCCGTGGGATTGGCCCTGCATACAGAGCATGCCTTGCGGAAGTGGTGAGAAGAAAGGCTTCAATGAAGCTCTACATGGGCATGGCTGGACAACTGGCTGAAAAGCTTGCAACAAAGAGAGAGGCTGAGGTCAGGAGACGGGAGGAATTCCTGAAAGTACATAGTTCATGTATACCTAGGGATATTTTAGCATCCATGGGATTGGACGATACTCCTAGCCAATGCGATGTCAATATAACTCCTTTTGACACTAATTTGCTTGACATTGACATATCAGATTTGGACCGTTGTGCGCCCGAGTATTTAGTAGGATCGTCACAGGGTGAAAAGCATGAAAGTTTAAAGGGTTCATTTTCCATGCCTAACAATAGTTCTCATTCAACTGAAGTTGAAGACAATATTGTGTACTCCTTTGAGAAGTACGACGCAGAGGAGCACCTTGAGGGTTCTGAGTTGGTAGAGGCTGCTGGAACTAGCAAATTGGAAGTTGAGAATGCAAAGCTGAAAGCGGAACTTGCTTCTGCAATAGCCCTCATTTGTTCCTTCAGCCCTGAAGTTGAGTATGAATCACTTGATGACAGTAAAGTCGATAGTTTACTGAAAAATGCAGCAGAGAAGACAGCTGAAGCCTTGCATCTGAAAGATGAGTATGGGAAACACCTCCAATCTATGTTTAAGGTAAAACAAATACAGTGCGAATCATACGAGAAACGCATTCAAGAATTGGAGCAGAGATTGTCCGATCAGCATATGCAAGGGCACAGGCTTCCAGTTGATAAGACAATCTCGAACTTTGCCCTTTCAACTGTGAAGACTGGTGATAGCAAATCAGAAATCTCAGGTGATGCAGAAGCCCACATGACTTGTGTATCTAGTGAATCTGTGGATGAGGTTTCTTGTGCTTCTAGTTCTTTGCATGTCAAATTAGGGCTTTTCCCTAAACAGTCAGGCAAAGCCTTTGAGGGATTGGATGAGAATATGATAGATTCCTCTTCAATGCTGAATCCTCAATTGGACTCATCAATGCTGGAACTACCTCATGAACAGGTGCATGCCAATGACAAAGCTAGGAATGATACAATGGTAGCAGACGTGAGCATGGCACTGGCAACCAGTTGCACTGCTGAGAGCATGCCTCAGCTCCTAAACAATTTACCTGCTGAAACAGCAGCCGAACAGAATTTGGATTCTAAAGCTAGTGGTGATCTTGTGTTGGAACTGCAGAATGCACTTACAGACAAGTCCAATCAACTGAATGAAATGGAAACTAAGCTGAAAGCTCTAGAGGAGGTTGCCAAGCTTGAGATGGAGTTGGAAATCAGTCGGAAACTCCTGGATGAATCTCAGGTATTAGCAGTGGAACTGCAAAATTTCTGTTACTTCGATTTATATGGAAAATTGCATAACTACTAATTGAATCTTGTTTCTGAGAACTGTTTTCTTTTCATTTCATTTCATTACCAAACTTGTTTGTTTATATTTGAATATATTGAGTTAGATTGTTGTGATGTTAAGTTAGGAGATTAACCCACCCCTGCTTTTTAGTCCCAACTTTCCAAGAAGTTTAACTGTGAGTCAGATTTGAGTGATCCTTTCACAATCTTACCTAGGGCTGGTAATGGAACCCACCCACCCAATGAAACCATCCCGTCCAACCTGACCCAACAAGCTGCGGATGGTTCCGGAGATATTCACGGTTGGTAATGGATTTAAGCAGCTAGATCCAGCAGTTTCACGGTCAGCGGCGGATTGATGAAATCTGCACCTGTCGAAATCAACCCACCTGAAATATTTTAATATAAGCCTTGTTAGATAGCTTTATATACATTGTTGGGTCAATTTCCTAATAGCTTAGGCTTTTGAGAAAACTAGTAACTTAGCATGGTATCAAAGCTCTGATTGAAAGAGGTCTTGAGTTCAAGTATCTCCGTTAGCATTTGATATTATGTCCCCATTTGATTTCTTCTCTCTGTTTGGTTGTTTGTTTCTCCTTCTGTTTGTCTTTTCGTGTGCAAGACGGGGTTGTACGTGAAAGAGGGTGTTAGATAGTTTGATTTACCCTTTGTTTTGGGATAAATAGATAGCTTGATATACATTGTTGGACCCATTTCCTAATAGCTTAGGCTTTTGAAAAAACTGGTAACTTAACATGCCTTTTATCTCTACATGATGTTTATTGATTGGTAGAATACCCTAGCTTTAATTACATATCTGTTTGTTTCCCTCATAGTATTAAAACAAACGAATCAATGCACTCTCTCTCTCTCTCTCTCTCTCATGTTCCCCATAAACCCTTTCTTCTTCTCTCTAATCCCTTCTTCTCTTCTCCAAGCCTCCCATCTCTATCATTCCTTCTCAAAAACCCTTCATCTCTCCCATTCTCACGTTTTGAAACCCTAAAACATGAAATCTTCTTGAGACTCTCTTCCACGATTGACTATGTGGTTTCTTCACAAATTAACCACATCTGACAACCGCTGGTTGATCGGTGGTAAAGATGGGGCTGGTTGATTGATGGCATTGGGAGATCAATGGTTGAGCTTGGTGTTGATCGGTGGAGGCAGCAACAGACTCAGAGTGGTAATTTGGATGTGTAGGTTCTTTTATCCCTTCTGTCTCTGATATCTGCGTTTGTGAGTTTAGTATGTTGTACTTAAAATTTTGGAATTAGTTTAAGATTTTGTATGCGTAAACTATGAGGCTTGTGTGCCTTTTTCGATACCGTCCAAAGCCGATCGACCCAACCAAATCAAATAATGGTCGATTGCGAGAAAGATTTCAGTCGACATCAGTTGATTGTAGCTTCCAACTGATAGTGTCGGTTCGAGCAATGGTTCTACCTGTGAGCCCAGGCTGACCAACCCGTGAACACCCCTAACATGAGGTCTAAGTGGCATTAGATGTGAACTGTAGAAGCCTGGTTTAGGATGATCACTTGGTTGGACAATCCTCTTAATACCGTATAATTTTTGTGCAGCTGCTATTTGCTTGTACTTCACAGAAATATTCATCAGAAGCAGCAAGCTAACTTGATTTTCATTTTACAGATGAATTGTGCTCACTTAGAGAATTGTCTGCATGAAGCAAGAGAGGAAGCCCAAACCCATCTTTGTGCAGCTGATCGAAGGGCCTCAGAGTATAGTGCACTGCGTGCCTCTGCTGTAAAGATGCGTAGCCTTTTTGAAAGACTAAGGAGCTGTGTTTCTTCTGGTGGGGTGGCTGGATTTGCTGAGTCCTTGCGTGCTCTAGCTCAATCTTTGGCCAAGTAAGTTGCCAAAATTTGTTTTCTAGTGTTTCCAGCATTTTCTTCATTATATTAGTATTTGATGCAAAATGTCATTTCCACTACTTTTCCTCGTTTCCATGCTTTAATTTATGTTTAGGAAAAGTCAATTCAAATTCTTGTGCATTTATTAATACCATGTTATGTGGACCTGGGTATGTGTCCACTGCACGCACGTGTAAGCATAGGATACTTCTAATTCCTAATCTAGGGACACTAGGACATGGCTAAATATTGATATTCCTTAACTATTCTTCTTTTAAATCTGACAAAAAAATTGTGCTTATGCAATAGGCATTAAGCGACCATCCCGAAAAATTACATAATTATGGAATTTAATGTATTATCATACAGCAAACGTAAGTTACCCAAGACAATTGTTGCATGCATGTCCAATTAGCCTTTTTGGACTTGTATTTCATAACCTTAATTGTGTGTCTAACAAGGATTCTTCGTGCAATTAGAAGAGTCTGCCATAGAGTTTTGTTGTATGTATTTATTTATATGCATCTCTCTAATATTCGAAGCATTTCCTCCTATTTGTATGTTGTTATTGTGACTTGAGGACAAGTGCCCGTTCCGAAAATTGCAAGGTTTTTGTTTAGAATATTGCAGTTCACTTTGTCCACTAGTTACCAAAAATAGAAAAAGAAAAAAAAAAAGCATTGCCCGGTATTGTTATGTCAATACATGGAGCTTTAAGGCGTGGTGGTAGGGAGAAAATTCTACATGGGTCCATGACCCATGGGTACCACAATTAGTGTTGTATGGCTGGAAAATATTTTCTTTGGTATGGATCAATCTATATGGCTCTAACTATAAGTTTTTCTAAATGATTTGTGTATTCAAATTGTGTATAATACAACTAGTACAACCGATATATATATAGATTTAGGATATAGCAATCCTAAATCTAATCTAAAATAGGAAATAATATTCTCACAATTAATCTAAAATATACAATCAACCTAATATATATTTTCATAATTAACATAATATTATCACACCCCCGCTCAAACTCAAGGTGTTTTAGCAGAAAATACTGAGACTTTGCTAAGAAGAAACTGAAATCGAGCAGTAGTGTGAGTCTTGGTAAAGAAATTAGCAAGTTGCAATGCCGAAGAGACGAAAGGAATCAAGATGGAGCTAGACTGCAAATGCGGATGTACAAAATGACAATTAATCTCAATGTGCTTTTTCCGCTCATGGAAGATAGTGTTATGGCCAATCTAAATAACACTATGGTTGTCACAGTAAAGGGAGGTTGGAGAAGAATGAGGGACACCTAAATCAGTCAAGAGACAATGAAGCCAAACAATCTCAGTAGTGGCATGAGCCATAGCACGGTGCTCAAAAAATCTAACTGAAAAGAGAAAAAGGCAGTTGGAGAAGTTGTCATAGGCAAATGCAAGCTTTCCATCACATAGAGGTCTCCAATTCTACAGCCGGTTCCAATCTGCTGCTTGGACATCCGATCCTGCACAGAGTAGATAGAAAAAGAAAAGATATCAAAACTGGAGGCATCAAGCTGACTGGCAGATAATAAACTGACAGATAACTGAGGAACATAAAAGACAGATGGAATAGAGACAGTAGATATAGCAGATGGTAGGACAGACCCAACAGATATAATAGACATACTAGACCCATTAGCAACATTAACAGTAATAGGAAAGGGAAGGGGGGCACAATTTTGAAGTAAGGAGAGATGAGGAGTCATATGATCAGAAGCACCAGAGTCAAAAATCCCAATAGACAAAGAGATACCTGAAGAAGACCCAAGTAAATCTGAATGAAGAGAGGAAACAACCGAAGCTGACAGGGAGGGCTGGGAGGTAGACAGTATATACTAAAGTTGACTAATCTGAGCACCCAAGGAAGCCAAGTCAAGAGCAGATGTAGTGGAACTGATGGAAGGACGAAAAGTACTCAGAGGAGGAGTTTGAAACTGGGTTTAAGACTGCTGAAAGGACGTGGCAAGCAAACGTCCTTTCTTGGGACAATGATACTTCCAATGGCCCTTTTGATGATAGAAAGCACACTCATTTGAAGCCAGTAGCCTATTTCTATTCCTGACAATCTGATTATCTGACATTGTAATAAACCAAAAAAGGAGAAGAGAATTGATGGGCAAAGTATAATAAACAGAGAACTAAGAGGTCAAAGTGTAATAAACCTGAAATAGGTGTATTCAACTCAAAAACACTCTAGCAAAATCAAGGAGAGACAAGTCGAAGTCGACTCTGAACTAAAGCAGCCGACAAGCTGATCGAGAGGAACAAGGGCAAATTTCTCTTTGATCTTGTGAACTAGAGGGAGAGACGAACAACGCACTTGAGAGAGGGAAATCATGACCAAGCGGGTCCAAAAAGTGAGAGAAGACTAGGTCGCGACTTTGGCGAGAGCAGTGGTTGATCACGGTGAAAGCAGAGGTGAGAAACGCTGCTGATACTCTCGTGACTTTGAAGCATAGAGATGGCAAACAGCGGAGAAAATTATTCGAATCATGAACCAGACTTAGATTTCGAACCAGTTTTCGTCACGAATTGACGATGATCGATCGCAATTCGCAACAAATGGGTCGCGACAAGGAGTCGCGATTGAACCGAGAGGCAGAGAGCTCTGGGTCAACTTCAAATCGTCTTTGAACCAAATGAAACTTGAGTCGGATGAAGAACTAGATAGAGCAAACCCACCATGACTACTAGGGTTTCGAATCTTCAAGCTAGGGTTTCAAACCAAGTTCTGATATCATGTAAGTTTTTTTAAATGATCTGTATATTTAACTAGTGTATAATACGAGTAAAACAAATATATATATAGCAATCTTAAACCTAATCTAAAATAGGAAATAATATTCACACAATCAATCTAAAATATATAATCAACCTAATATATATATATATTTCCGTAATTAACATAATATTCTCACATCGTTGTATTATACACAATCAATCTAAAATATACAATCAACCTAATATATATATTTCCATAATTAACGTAATATTCTCCCACTAACACCTTTAGGCCTACAAACACCACTTGTATGTATAGGGAGTTGATCTTGTATGAGCTTTTAGTGAGCCGAACACAAGTCAAGCATGACTAGTTTGGTTCATTTTATAAACCTAAAGACATTTTCATTAGAAATTAATCAAATCTTTCACTGCCAAGTTTATTTTGGCAATTTTGTAGATTAGGGGTAATTCTATAATTATATATTCGTTTCATATCTAGGTTTTTTAGTCTAGAAAACCTTTATTTAGTATGATTTAGGAAATTATTTTCCTAGTGGGAAAGGTAATATGCTTTTAGACAAGCAAAGCTTTGTAGATATAATTTGACAAATTGATTTTATAAAATTTTCTTTGTAGATTTTGTTGCCTTTTAATGGTGAGATTTCTTTGATTTCTTCTGGGTCATACTCTCTAGGAATGGCAACGGGTTAAGCCGAGACCGGGATTACACTCCCCGTTCCCAATCCCCGAAGGTATCACCATCCCCGTCCCCGTCTCCGAAAAATCCCTGACCCTTTTTTGTTTTTTTTGAGGCAAATATAAGATGTACCTGTTCAAGAGTAAAGTCTTTATGGAATCCCCGATCCCGAAAAATCCCCGTCCTTTTTTTTTTTTTGAATTTTCCATATCCCATTTTATTATTATTATTACTTTTAAGGGAAATAAAAATAATATATATAAAAGCATAATCCAGCAATGTCCAAACATAAACATCCAAACAATAACAACATGACAAACAAGATACAAAACAACACCCACACCACAACAATAAAAAAAAATAAATAAATAAAAAATCTCAAAACAACACCTATGAACCTAAACCCTAAAATGAGTCAAAAAATTCCTAGAGAAACACACACACATGCATGCACATATATATAGAGGGGTATAATAGTAATTTTAGTTTGGAGCGGAAATGGGGATGAGGACGGGGCTGGGGTGGGGGAACTTATCATTGTCCCTAGCCCGAAAGTTGTCAAGGATTAATTTTCGAATACTATCCCCGGCCCGTCTGGGGTATTTTTTAGGAAAAAAAATCGTTCTTATCGGGGTCGGGCAGATCCCGTCGGATTGGATTCAAATTGCCATCCCTGCTCTCATGAGGCCATAGAGAGATTCTTGGGTTTCTATCATTCTTCTTTATTTTGATTTTGAGCACTTCTGGGTAATACTTGAGAAGTCTTTAAACTCTAATCCCTAGTCACCTTTCATAATAGCCGTAAAACCCTTGATAAACTCTGTCCAGGAAACCCAGCAAGCTGGCCTGTATGGTTTTAGACAATAAAAGCCTCAAACCTCAGCTAATTCAAGCCTAAATCTTTTCTTGAACACTAATCTTACCATTTCAACCTGTATCAGGCTCTGTCCTACATCGTTTGCTCATTCATCATTGCCTTTCGTGGAATTGGGTGATTGTTTGGGAACTGGCTCCAGAAGCCCATGCTTGGATGGGCCTGTGCCTGCTTTAACATAACTTTTTCTCAATGATTTGAGTTCATTGAGTTAAAAAATTATCATCCCTTGGCCTTAGATTAGCGTCACTATTAAAATTATGGTTGCTGTCATTTTTTCCTTAGTGGTAGGAAACTTTTATTGGGGTGATGTTTCTTATTCATAAACTTCATACTGCTCTCCTAAGTAAAAAAACTTGTAAGAAGCACACTCCTGTCTGTGAGAGTTGTAATAAAAATTGGTTGTTAATTTCTGCTGATTAAGTCACTTCCATTGTGAGTTTCAGTTCTGTTAATGATACTGAAGATGATGGTACGACTGAGTTTCGAGAATGTATCCGGGTACTTGCTGATAAAGTCAGTGTCTTGTCAAGGCACCGTGCAGAGCTGCTTGAGAGGTATTCAAAGGCTGAAGCTGCAATTGAGCAACTCAAACAGGAGTTGGAAGAAAAGAAAGAGTTGGCCAATGCTTTGTACATAAAGCATCAACTTGAGAAGCAGGTAAGTTTGACAACATGTTTTCCATTCATACTTTTGTAGAAGTGTGCTTAGATAACCAAACGTGGTGTATCCAAATTTTTGCTAGACAAGCTTTCATTACCATATATGTGGCTGACAAACATACCGGGGCTGTCTATTGATTGCCCACATCCCAATAGCAGACTGGGCGATGGGTCGTTTTGCACACTAAAAATAAAGAACTAAACTACGCCCAAATTTCTTAGAATAATGGCAAGTCTAGATATCGATCCATGGAGACAATTGTGAAATTAAACTAATTTAATTGTTAGGTTCCTAAATTAATTTTAATAAAAAGATTTATGGATCATATAACTAAATAAGGATTAAAATAAAATTAAGAAAATAATTTGTCAATTAAAAGTAAGGGTTAACATACTGATTTTGGAAAAAATTTAGGGCAATGAATTCACTACTAGTTACATAAATAAGGTTTAAGATTGGAAATCGATTGTGTTATGGTTCAAACCACCCAATACTTCGCAATTACAAAGCTCAAAGTTTTGCTCAAGAAGATTTTTGCATTCAGCGTATCGGCACCATCAAGTAGTATGAGTCGTTCGCTCAAAATTAGGGTAGCAACATGACTCATCTCTCATAGCATGGCTCGTCTCAGACTTTGAATATGAAAGAAAAGATAACAATTGTATGGAAAGAATTCAACAATTACAGAAAGAAGAACATTTAAAAAGCATGAAAGAAAAATGTATTGAAAAATTTCTTAAACACCATACAGCCTGTTTAAACCATTACAACAATAAAAGAAATAAATAAAAAAAACTAAGAAAAATACTATTTACTTGGCTAGGGTTTCATCAAAACCTTAGAAAGTGGAGAACTAGCCACTCATGGAGGAGTGGGAAGAGATAGAGGTTGCAGCCACCATGGAAGACATTCTTGAAAACATCAAACTTTTTCTTCCCAACCCTAGCCTCTCCTTTTCTTTAGCAAATTTTAGAACCCTTTTTCAGCTTTTATTCTCCCTTTTATACCTTCCAACCTTTAAAAAGGGTTTAAAACGACGTGCACACAAATCGAGGTACGACCGCACGTGCTTTAAATGTCACCGCACATGCTGTGAAGGCTCCGCACGTGCAGGAAAAACTCGCGCACGTGCGGGAAAAACCTTACGCACGTGCGGTTTTTTGCAAAATGCATGGGCTTTTAGGAGGATAGGCTGTGCATGCAGTAATGACCCTCTGCATGTGCGGGGTTGACTTTTTTTAGCTAGAACTCCATGCTTTTGCTCCGCGTCCAACCTGATTGACGTTAAACAGTAGTAAAATGCACAAAGGGTTAAGAACTGTCAATTATCAGCCTCAATGATATACAATTCGGCCTCAATTAGTGGCAGATACTTGTTAACTTAATTTCTTGAGCAATTCTTTGGGAAAAGTTCAAACATTATTTCCATATCCGTTATCCTGATCACCGGAGTTGGTTGTTTGGCAACTAAGCTGGTAGCCAGTTGGCTACTTGTGTGATCCCTTTCTCCATGGTTCATATAATGAAGTTCTCATTGTGAGAAAATGAGGTTAAGAAATTTGAAATAGGAAAATAAAGTGAGGGCTTTTTCTTGGTTGGTTTTGTGCCGAGATACAAAGAGAAAAAAGAGAGAATCTTGTTGCCTTGACATTCGTTGTTACAATCTTAAAATTCTAAAACAATATATAGAAAAACCTTGATTAAAATGTAACAAAAGATACAAGAATACCCCAAAACTAAATAAGGAAAAACACAATTACTAAAATTATATCTTCACACCACACCCGTTCTCAAAGTCACAATGCAAGCCTAGTGAGCATCAAGAGTTTGACAAGTAAAAATTGCGAGTGTGCAAAAGTGTGTCTTGGTGAAGAAGTCTACAATCTGGAAGGAGGAACAAAAGATATATCGATGATGACCAACTGAAGATTCTGACAACAATCAAGCCCTGTATTAAGACGTTCATGGAAGAAAAAATTATGGACAATTTGGTTAACACTTTTACTATCACATTAGGGAGGAGTAGAGGATATGGGAACCAGACCGAAATCAACAAGAAGCCAACAAAGCCAAACAACCTCATTTATAGAATGAATCATAGCAAGATATTCAGTCTCAACAATAGAGTAAGCAATCACAAACAATTTAGTTTAGGGGTTTTTGTGTTTCTTCTGTTACATTTTAGTCTATGAAGCATGGGTACTTTTTCGACAAAAACGTCGTACCTGTATTGGGTACTTACCAGGTGTTGGTACTTTTCATGGTACTTTGCATACGTATCCAGTACATGAAAAACATACCAAAAAAATTTCTTCTTAATTTTTGTTGTACCCCAGATGTGCCTAATATATATCCAAGCCGTATCACAAATGGAATAGTATTTTCTTCTATATGAACTTAGTTTCATTGGATTTAATTTTTTCAAGCTTAGCTTGATTTTAAATATAAGGTTTTTTTTTTTTTTGGATAACCAAATGTCTGGGCCAACTTGTGCGCACCTCGATTTAAAATTTTAGTTTTGGTTTGTAGTTATTTAATATTATGACAATTAATTTTGGTTTGTACCTTACTTTTGGCATTCAATGTGAATTACAAGTTGGATCTTAACTAACTAAACAATTTTACTAATTTTTGCATAATTCCAAATTAAAAATAAATATTTTTTTATGAGCATATCCAGTTGTACTTTTATATTTTATCATATCAGCATACCCGTATCGTACCAATAACAGTACTCATACCTATACACGTGCTTCATATATTTTAATCTTTAGGATTGTAACATACCTATGTATATGTTATTGTAACATACCTTATAACTATATATATATATTTTAATAAGCTTGTAACAGAGAAGGGTTGGGCAACAAAATTATTTCCTCTCTTTGTATCTCGTAACATAGTTTAAGAGCTTAGGTTGGGAGGTTTTGGGTTCAAGTCTCTGTTTGCATTTGGTCCCCATTTGATCTTTCTACTCTTTTTTGCATTCATTCTTCTGTATATGTATAAATGTTTGCATCTTCACATGCAAGGCTGGGTTGCATGTGAGGAAGGGTGTTGGAAAGCTTTGATATACATTATTGGGCTCATCTCCTAACCGTTTTAGGTTTTGGGGCAACTGTGCTGCTAATAGTAGGCACTGAATCTCTTGGGACCCCACACTTCTTTGGCCCCCCATTCTCTGGTTTCAAATTGACCCTCCACTTAATCCCAAAATGAACCCCCAACCCTCTCAAACCCTAACCCCACTCCAGCCACAACCCGCCACCAGTAGCTCTGGCCAACCTCTCTCACCCCTCCACAGCTCCGGCCGCCACCCCTATCCCCTCCCACCTCGGGGTTGACTTTTTTTAGCTAGAACTCCATGCTTTTGCTCTGCGGGTTGTTTCCGATGTTTTTTTCTTGTAGTGCCAGTCTTCTCTGAGGGGTAGCTGAGGGATAAGGGTTTGGGTTTGGGTTCGGGTTCAGGTTCAGGGGTTTGGGTGGGTTAATGATGATGGTGAAATTGGGATTTCATGATAGGGTAGATTTGTAATTTAAAAATATATATATTTTTGATATGTGCGGGTCCGAAGAAATTTTTGGAGTGCGATGTTTGGTTTTGTTTTCCAAAATTCACTCTTCAAAAAATTCAACTTTTTTATTTTTTGTATTTTTTTTTGTTGTTACTGGTTTTTTTTAATATTTCAAGTATTTTTTTAATTTTTAGACACACCTAACATAGATATACTTAAAAAGTATAATATTTGTAAAAAAATATTTAAAATTTTCACTAAATACCAAAAATGCAAAAAAAATATAAAAATTCAGTACATGTTTCGTATTTTTGTGTATTTATTAATTTTTTAAAATATTTTTTCACAAATATTTTACTTTTTAAATACATCCAAGTAAGTTGCATTTAACAAAATAAAAAAATTGCTTAAAATTTTAAAAATATTTACTAAAAATAAAAAAATACGAAAAACAAAAAACTCAATTTCAAGAAAATTGAATTCAAAAAATTGAAACCAAACACATTGATCATCCTAGGGCCATTAGTGACTCAACATGTTCAACCAATGGAATCTTATATTTAATGGGGAACAGAATGGTTTGAATATCTCTTCTTAACTGAATCCCACGAAATAATAATTTGATTTTTCTTTTTCATGGCAACTTCTATGATATTATTTTCTTCTTTATTGCGACTGCTTGTCTATTTTAAAGTAAGACACTATTTATGGTCTTGTTACAGGCAAAGAAGGAGAAGATATCTTTTGGCCGGTTGGAAGTCCATGAGATAGCTGCATTTGTTAAAAACTCAGCTGGGCATTTCGAGGCAATCAATCGGAATTGCCCCAAGTACTACCTGTCCGCCGAATCTGTGGCCTTGTTTGTAGACCATCTCCCAAACCGGCCAAACTACATCGTTGGGCAGATTGTGCATATTGAACGACAGACCGTGAGGCAGCCACCTCCCACAGTTCGAGCAGAGCCTTGTAGGGTAGACCGAGTAGATTTCTTGACCCCTGAAGCAGGAGCCAATCGATTGGCCTTGAATTCGGGATCAACATCAAATCCTTATGATCTTCCTATTGGCTGTGAATACTTCATAGTGACTGTAGCCATGCTACCTGAGACCACCCTTCATTCGCAGTCTCCTTCCTGATCTTGCGAAAATGAAGATAGACATGATGGAAGAAACCCATTGTACATATATATATATATATATGTATGTATATTATATGGTTATATTAATTAAAGATAAATCCACATGCTGGTGGGAGTATTAAGTTTATATTTCCTTTCTGTACAGCTGATGATCAGTTCAATTTAATCTTTCTTCTCCCTCTGTATATAAGCTTACTTTGTTAATTTATCTAATCTGTGAATATTTATTTATCCCATGCTAGGGTATGTATGTATGTAACACCATTGACTGTTTCGACTAGGTGAATATCACCGGGCATTCGGGTCCTAGGATGAAGTCCATCTGGATTTCTCACCAACCCCCTAAAAGAGGCTCCTTCAAACTGGAACAGGTTAGAGCCATGTTCTCTTCTTAAAAAATAGGGTAAGTTACACTTCCCTCTCCTGAGATTTAACCTTAATTACAGATACTTCTCCCAGACCCGGCCTTGAGATTTCTGGAGCTCAAAGTCGATAATCAATTAATAAATACCACTAGATCATTTGGGGCCATTCACATTTTTTTTTCATTCAATGAGAAAAAAAAAATTGAAGGTAAAGGATAAAAGATTTGTGTCAAAAATACAAAAATATTTAGTATTACATTATAACAACTAATAAGTATCATTTGATTCTCACTCTTTTTTGCATTTTTAGAATCAAATAAATCAATCATACTTGCATAATCTAGTATTTTTCTTTTTTGCAAATCCAAACGGATAATTTTTTTTAAGAGTCATGATGAGTTAAAATCAAATTATTTTTTAAGATCAAAATAAGTACAAGAGCACCACCATCACTTAACAGAACACAAAACTTTTAAATTATGTGATGTGAACTATTAAACTTCTAATGTTATAATAGCACATGTAGCAAAAAGATTAATTTTTCTTGATGATGCAGATTTGTATAAATACCAATATTATAATAGCAATTGAGCAAAAGACAAGACAAAAATTTAATTGATTAAATAAAGAAAAAAGCCTTCCCGTGTTGTGTTGCTGCTCTGAATTCCTGAGAAATTCGTTAGTGTTCTGTTGTGTCACTTCTCTCAAATTTTTAGGAAAATTGAATTAAGAGCCAGGTTAGGAATTAGATAGGGAGAGAGAATGGGCCATTTTGATTTTGAATGAGCCTTTTAATTTTGTAATGGGTCAATTTATTTTAAGTTAGTTTGGACCTTCTTTAATTTTTTTTGGATTTAAAACATACCTAATATATTATACTATACTATAATGGGGGACTTACGGGCCGATCCCTTTGATCAGATTTATTTACCTGTAAATCTTGCTCATTTTTTCACCTCTCAATATACCCCAAATACCCTTCCTACACCTCCTTCAATAACTCAATAATCAAATCACTTCCATGACCTACCATCTTTCACTTCTAACCATCGACGAGTACTACTAACCGGCGGTGATAACCTCCGGCAACCTCTGACGATCACCTCAGGCAATCTCTAGCGTTCACTACTATCACTATCTTCTAAGATCTGATGGTGACAGGAGAAGAAGAAGAAGAAGAAAAAGAAGAAGAAAAGAGAGAGAGAGAGAGAGAGAGAGAAGATGAAAAGGAAAAGGAAAAGAAGAAGGAAAGGCCTTAGTAGAAAATTGCTAGACTTCGTGTCGTAGATCAACATAACCATGCATTTACCATCTGCTCTTTGTCCTCTTTCCAGTGATAAATTTATCACTGATAGATTGACCCATACAACATATTCACATCTACAATGACAAATTAGTGATAAATTCATCACTGTATAAATATAAAAAATAGCAACAATATACAGCATTTATCATTGATAGATTAATCATACTGCATATTCATCTCTCTCTAGTGACAAAAATGATAAATTTATCACTAATTGTTTGTTAAAAAATTACAAAAAGAAAATCTCATTATTATCGTCACAAATTAACACAAGATTCAAAGACATATTCAGTAATAAACTTAGCAGTGATAAACACATTCACTGATAAATTTCTCACTAGTTGTTTGTTAAAAGATTACACACACACACACACACACACAAATCTCGTCATCATCGTCACAAATCAACACAAGATTTAAAGAAATATATCAGTGATACATTTATCACTGATACAACAGATTTGGTTTAAAAGAAATAAAAGTGAGAGAGAGAGAGAGAGAGAGAGAGGAAGAGGAAGATGAAGGTGATAAATATAATGTGAACAAAAATCAATGATAAATTTATCATTGTATTAATATCAAAATTCTAGTAGCAGCAGCCCACGACATATTAAACAAATCAATGATAAATTTATCACTGAATTAAATGATAAAATTCATCAGATTTGTTTAACATGTTTTACAAATGTAGATCTTCACCAACACATTGTAGAAAGAGTCTTGATCTCATCGGCGGCCATGTAAAGTGCCAGATTGGCGCCGGAGATAGTAGATCGGCATTGAGAACAACTAGATTTAAAGCCATTGGTAAAGTTCAACGTTAAAGACGGTGGATCGATAATTGAAGAAGAATGATGGCGATGGCAGATGAAGGATGGATGATGAAAGAAGAGCGACGATAATGGCAAAGAGGAAGGAAGATGACAATGTTAGGTGAGCGAATCAAACGGTTGAGAGATGGTGAAGTATAGATCGGCGACGATAGAGATGGTTGGTGAACAATGGTGGTAGTAGTGGTCGGCGAAGGTGGTGGTGGTGATCGGTGGAGGTGGTGGTGGTTAGTGACAGATGACGATGGTAGTTGTAGGTGGATGACCATGGCCATAGCTACAATGGTGGCATTTTCTAGAGAGAGAGAGAGAGATAAGAAAGAAGAAGAGTTTTGGAAAAATAATCAAGAGAAAAGTTAATACAATTTGAAAAAATTAATGAATAATAAATATTATAAACAATTAAAGATTTAGAAATTGTTTGAGATGATTTAAATAAGGATTTTTACCAACTGGTAGCAAGGGAAAAATCGAGATAAAAAAAGACTTTTTGGTGCATGAGTTTGAAACTTAGGACCTAATGGGTAATAAATTCAATTTATTAGGACCGATTGGTAAAAATTCCTTTAAAAATTGCACAAACTTCTCTTGTTTTTGAAAATAATAGCTAGATTTCCCTTTCTATTAGAAGCACATTACAAAAGCAACCAAAAAGAGTGAAATCAACAACAATAAACACATAAATGCCCAAAATACCTTTCTCATCCCTTATAAAACAATATACACCCTTGTAACCATTTCCCTCCTCCCAACAACATGACAATAATGAGTTTTTTTTTAACGCCGTGTTAATTATATATATATATGTTTTGAATTCTCTTGTACTAGGAATGTTGGTTATTTAAAAATTAATTTTGCATCCAAAAAAGAAAAAAGTCATGTGAAAATGATGAGCATTTTTTTTAATTTTAATTCTTTTTTATGAAATTAATATTTATTTTTTTCATATTTTTTTTTAAAAATAATTGATTATGAAAATTAAACCAAACAAAAAGTGTTATGATTCACTTTCCCAATATAATGTGTATATATGTTTTGAATTACTTTGTACTGGAAAGGTTGGTTGTAATAGTATAATACTTTGACCTTTAAATAATAAAAAAATAAAAACCAAAAAGAGAAATAAAAATAAAAAATCTAACATGTTTGGTTTTAATTTTCTAGATTTAATTTTTTGAAAATTGAATTTTTTATTTTTTGTATTTTTTGTTTTTAATGAAGATTTTTAAAATTTTAAGCAATTTTTTTAACTTTTTTAGATGCACCTTACTTAGATGTATCTAAAAAGTAAAATATTTATAAAAAAAATATTTTAAAAAATTAATAAATACATAAGAATATGAAAATGTATTGAATTTTTGTATTTTTTTATATTTTGGTATTTGGTGAATTTTTTAAAGATTTTTTTGATAAATATTATACTTTTTAAATATATTTATGTAAGGTGTATCTAAAAAATAAAAAAATTACTTAAAATATTAAAAAAAATTAGTGAAAATAAAAAAATATGAAACCAAAAATTTTAATTTTCTGAAAAATAAATCCTGAAAAGTGAAACCAAATAAGTTAGGATTTAAAAGTTTAGTTATACTGACTATATTCTTAAATCTTGTGAATTTTTTTTTTCCCCTTTTTTTCAATAGCCTTGTACGGTGGGATATAAAAGTTTAGTTATGCTAACTTTAAATTTAGGGAAAATTTTATTTTAGAAATGGTTTTAAAAAATTTGTAAATTTTATAATATTACTAATTAAAAACATAATTTTTTTTTATGAATGTGTAATAATTCCTTAAATTTAAATGTAAACTCACTTAGAGACAGAAACTGACAATGGCTTTGGATAGTAGGTCACTAATTTATCTTTTTGTAGGATTTGGTCGGTTAGATGATACAATGTTGGAGTAATTGGGTTAATAGAAAGAGAAAGATGAAATGGGGGTATTTTAGTCATTTAATGTTATTTTTGACACTGTTTGGAACAAAGTTAACAAAAGGGAGAATCTGACTATTATTTTCAAAAGTAAGGGAGGTTTGTGTAATTTTTGAAACCACAAGAGAGGTATCTGTAATTAAGATAAACCTTAGGAGAGGTAAGTGTAATTTACCCTAAAAAATAAAATAAAATAAAATAAATAGTAAGATTGGTTTTCTTAATTTTGTTCGATAATGAAACAGGTGGAAAAAATGCATAATTTTTTCTTCGTTTTAATTGGTTTTGTTTTGGAAACTCAAATCATAAGTTTAATTTCAAAATTTTTGGGACAATAGTCTCAAATTTTATTGTTTTGATGTCAAAATATAATAATTTAAAAGACTATACTATTGTTATATTTGTTTGTTCACGCCACTCTTCTGTTCATCTATTGTTCACGTATCATCTATATATTTAATTTTTTAACCTAATGTCATATCCCCATAGAATTGAATTTATCACTAATAAACCTTTTTATTCTTGCTATGTTTAGATTTTGAATTTGAAAATTTGTTGAGGGAAAAGAAAAGAAGAAAAACAAAAATTTAACTTTTAATTTATTCATTTTTCTTCAATTTTTTTTTCTCTATATATAACTTTCATAATTCACCATTCAAACACAATAGGATATTAAAGTGCGTGAGTCCCTCCCTCCTATCTAAAATAAAGTGTAGGAGTCTCAAAATTTTTGGAGTCACACACCCAAATAAACAAAAAATTAACTTACTTTTCAAATAATAATAATATTAAAATAGGATATGCACGGTCTCTCAAAATATGAAATTTTGAAATGTTACAAATATAGTATTAACACAATTTACGAGCAAAGTGGTTTTTGGTTACATCTCAAAATAGTGTTGGTTATGATCATTGTGACAATGATAAATGATTAATTTATTTTTTTTAGTATATGTAGTAGATATCTTTTTGTGAGATGTGTACAGCAAAATTTTTTATCATTCTTCAAAATCACCTCTAATGATAAGTTTGACAAGTATCAAATTTTAATTTATCAAACATTTCATCATAAAAAGTCTAACCTCAATACCACACCACTAGAAGTGATTATAAGGGGTAATAAATTAGGTATCTCAAGCATCTTGATTTTAACCAAATTGATCCTTACAGTTTTAAAATTTTAAAAATAAAATTGAACTGCGAATCTTTCCAAATTGAATTAGAACCAAAATGGTTTGATTTAACAATTCTAAGTTAGAAAATTGATCACTAGGCTATGTAGTTCAACAAAAAATGGATTTATCTATACAACTGTTCCAAAAATTACATAAGCATACTTCAAATTTGATGGAACAAGTGTTATAGCTGACAGCCTACATTGCCGGCTGTGCAGAATAATTTTTTTTTTTTTTTTGAAAAGGTTCCAACAGTGTTGCTTTTGGGCTAATTTCTCAAAATAGGCTATAATAGCCTCATTTTGAGCTTCCCAAACAGCGCCAAAGTGTACGAGTCTCAAAATTTTTGGAGTCACACACCCAAATAAACAAAAAATTAACTTACTTTTCAAATAATAATAATATTAAAATAGGATATGCACTGTCTCTCAAAATATGAAATTTTGAAATGTTACAAATATAGTATTAACACGATTTACGAGCAAAGTGGTTTTTGGTTACATCTCAAAATAGTGTTGGTTATGATCATTGTGACAATGATAAATGATTAATTTAATTTTTTTAGTATATGTAGTAGATATCTTTTCGTGAGATGTGTACAACAAATTTTTTTTATCATTTTTCAAAATCACCTCTAATGATGCGTCTGACAAGTATCAAGTTTTAATTTATCAAACATTTCATCATATAAAGTCTAACCTCAATACCACAACAATAGAAGTGATTATAAGAGGTAATAAATTAGGTATCTCAAGCATCTTGATTTTAACCAAATTGATCCTTACAGTTTTAAAATTTTAAAAATAAAATTGAACTGCAAATCTTTCCAAATTGAATTAGAACCAAAATGGTTTGATTTAACAATTCTAAGTTAGAAAATTGATCACTAGGCTATGTAGTTCAACCAAAAATGGATTTATCTATACAACTATTCCAAAAATTACATAAGCATACTTCAAATTTTTAGAGTATTGTCCAAATTATTTTTATAAAATATGTAAAGACGAACAATTGTTCATATTATATAGTAATTATTATTAAATATAATTTTTTATAATATAATTATTGTGAAAATTATATAAATAGTGAAAAGTATTATACACATTTTTTTACATACAAGTACGATACTTTGTGAATATGATAAATAAAGGCCTTAGATATGTTAGAATGAGATAAAGGTTAGAGGGAAAAAAAAATCATTGAGAAAAAAAAGTAAGTACCTTGTGGAACCCCCTATACATCAAGCAATTTGGTTCAGTTTTATTCAGTTCTTTTGAGCCTTAAGTTGTGAATCAAATTGTAGTCAATTGTCCTTCACAAAAATTTGGAATTGGAATCAATCCATCTCCTAAAAAAACTGGACCAAATGATGCATTTGAACTGATGCCAATAAGTTTACAATTTGATGAATTTTTTTATGCTTAAATCCTTGTATATAAACTATATAGGGGTGTTTAGCCACAATCCTTGCTTGTACATCACAAGAAGGTTAATTGTTCAAATTTCTCGGTAGTAAAAATCTCATTGTCCATGTATTTTTCACTTTAACAGTTTCTTTTTATTAATTATGTATTGCATTTAATTTTTATTATTATGATTGTAATTCATTTGGTTTCATTATAATATGATATATGAATAAAACAAAAATCCTTGTCTGCAAAATTTTAATTAGAAAATAGAAAAATATCAAAATGGGAAATGTAATTCCCATTTCTTTTATAAATATATTTTGAAAAAAAATACAAATGTAAATAAGAAATTGAGTAATAGGTAATTTAGATATTAAAGACAAATTTTAATTAAAATACATTTACAGAATAAATAAATGAATAAAATATTCTTATAAAAATCAAATCAAAGAATTGATGATGAACTGACGGAGAGTAAATGTACAACGTGGCACAAGCTAATGCGTTGAATAATTATCCAAGAATGTCCCATCCTTCATGATATAGCCAAGAAATTTTCTTCTTTTTTTAGCCTTTTCTATTATATATTTATTTATTTATTTATTGGAGGGTGGGGTAAGAAGTCAAAAAATAAAAAATAAAAAAATTATGATAACCTTTTGCATCAGCTGCTTCTGGTGCAAATGGAGAGAGAGAGAGAGAGAGAGAGAGATATGATATGATGATGATTTGTCAAGGAGAGAGAGGGGGAGAGAAATGAGAGGCCCAAATTGATAGATAGAGCTTACCATTCTTCTGAGCCGAGCGAGTACAAAGAGAGAAAGCCAAAGGCTTGCCTTATCCTATCTATCTTTCTATATCCTCTCAAAACTCACCCCCTCTCTCTCTCTCTCTCTCTCTCTCACTCGCTCACCGAACTTATTGTGTCTTCCTCTCTAGCAACTTTCACTTAACTCTTCCTTTAATAAGCTCTCTTCCTTTAATAAGCTCTACCTCAACAAAGTATAACTACACAATAATATCTCTCTCCCTCTATTTATTGGCTAGTGTTTGGCATTGTTTCTTGAGAAGTTGTTCAACTAAGTTCAATAATTAGCTCTTCTTCGTTTTTGTTGTTGTTGTTGTTGTTGTTGTTTCTTTGAATTGATTTTGATGAGAGAGTGTTCTTAAATTGAACTAGCCATTAATTCAATATATGGCACAGCTCTAGCTCTGAACAAGTCTTTTGTATTTCACTTTGTGCACAAAAATCAGGCACTGCTTGCTTGCTAGCAGCTTTTTGTTCGACAAATACTAATTCATAGCATTGTTCTTGCCGTCACAAAATTTGTATCCAAGTTATACAAAAATTCAATTTCAAATTCCATTCCATTCAATTCCATTCCATTCAATTCCATCCCATCCAATTAGTGTTTGGACTTTGGAGGCACAAAATGTCTCCTAAAACAGGTAAGGCAAAACCCCACAAACCCAAAGGAGAGAAGAAGAAGAAGGAAGAGAAAGGTGTGTATACCATGTGCTGTTATCTTCATTTCTTGTCCAAACAACTATACATTCATTGTTGTATCCATTTTCTTTCTGTTTGGTTGCTGAGAAACCAATGGAAACAAAATAAAAATTTAAGACATCAAAAGTTCTTGTTTTTCATTGATTTAGTTCTTTAAATTATTAAACACCCACATAATTTTTTATACTGTGTTTCCCAAATTTTCTCAGCAACCAACCAAATTATGTTAATTAACAGTCAATTCTTATTTATTTACTAATATTTAATTTTTTTTAATTTAAATTTACAGTTTAAGTTTATTTATTTATTTTTATTTTGTCTGTTGTTCTTTAACTAAACAGGAAGAAATGTTAACCTTAAAATATATTTATATTATTTTTCTCTGATTTTCTCAGCAAGCAAGCAGTTTAAATTGGCATTTCATCATTTATTTACTCGTATTTATTATTATTATTATTTTTTTTCTTTTTTGCAGTTTTGCCTACAGTAATTGAAATTACAATAGAAACTCCCGACGAGTCGCAAGTGACGCTTAAGGTACGTACGTATATCGTACTTGGCAGAGCAGTAATCTGCTGCATGCGAGTGTACAGTAAGAGGCAAGTTAAATTATTATTTTGGGCAAATTACATATACCGCTCGAGATTTAGTTAAATTACAGATATCCCTCGAGGTTTGAGAAATTACAGATACTTCCTGAAAGTTATATTTTCATAACAAATTATGGGGTAATTTGTTATAAAAATATAAATCTCATGGTGTAATTTGTTATGAAAATATAAATCTAAGGAGGGTATATGTAATTTCTCAAATCTCAGAAAGATATATGTAATTTAGTTATACCTCGAGAGAGATATATGTAATTTGTCCTATTATTTATTTTTGTGTTTCGGATATGTCACTAGTTTTATTTTTGAGGAAGATTACAAGAAATTGAAAAATTATTTATCAAAAAGTGGAGAGTGTAATTTTTGTTGTGATTTTAATAAAATAAAATAAAAAGTTATACCTTATATATTTATAATTATTTTTAATCTTTTAATAATCGTAAATTCAACTTATTTTTGTATCGTTCACTGCAGGCAATATCAACGGACAGGATTTTAGATGTGAAGAAGCTATTAGCAGTCCACGTGGAGACATGTCACATGACAAACTATTCATTATCTCACGAGGTATGTATGGCAATCAACTATGCTTCATCGCATTGTACAATTTAATTACATCCTTTGCTTGCTAAAAGTGCACCAGTGGGCCATTTTGAGGCCGCGTTTGGGACAAAATTTTCATGATTGTTGATGAATTATTTGTTTTGGGGTTAATTATAGCAAGATCCTCTCAATTATCATTAAGTATTATTTTATTTTATTTTAATTATAAACCAGTGTACTTTGAATGTCATATCTTTAATTATGTAAATGTATTACTTTTACATTTTTAAACTACCTTTAAAAGATATGTATGTATACCATTTCCATAATTGAAGACGTCAATATATATGATTTCATTGTTGAAAGGGGGTAAAATGTTTTAATTGTATGGAAAAAAAAAGTTTATGTGAGGATATTAATCTTTTTATTACACTAGTAGAAACTAATTTTTTTAAATACATACAAAATATCAATTTTTTATTTTTTATTTTTTTTAACTTTTTAATTAAAATCATATCTTCGTAATGTCTTGGTGTGCATGATTTTTTCAAATAGTTTTACAAAATAAACGGTTAAATCATTAAGATAAATTCAAAATGAACCCACAATAGATCATACTATACCGTCCAATTAGGATATCCAACCGAAGAGTATTTGAGAGGGAGATTTATGATTTGGATTGGGCCGTAGTAATGGCCGGACAAATTGTGGGCCGAACACATTTGGGCAGTGGCAGCTTAGACCCATCCAAAAAGGATTTTTGCTCGGTAATGGCGCAGTTGCTGTGGAACCGAGCTACTTGGGCTTGTTAGTGCGGAAGCCGGTCAAGTGAGGGTTCGGCCGAGATGACCGCAGCCTCACTTGGTTCCACGATTCATGCATTAGCTCGGCAGGAAGGCTGACGGCTAACCAGCATGACTTATCCCGAACTCGGCTTGCCGGAATGCAACCGAGCTCGGTCGTCATTGAGCTTGTCAAGTGGAGTGCTCTGGCTAGCTATGCAGCACGGCTGTTGATAGCCGAGATGCTGCAGCCCGGCTGCCGAGCTCCCAGTAGTGTGGGCTGGCAGTTTGGTTAGGTAGCGTTCAGCTAGATTTGTGTTGACAGATGGGATAGCAGCACCACGTGTCGAGAGACTAATGGGAGTAGATTTGGGGCACAGAAGGTATATAAGCATGTCTGCGCGCCCATGCCGTGACAGATGAACATTGGGTGAGACTTACACTAAACACTCAACTCTTTCCTCTCTCTCTCTCTATCCCTGTGTGTGTTCTAACTTGATCGTCGGAGAGGTTTCCCGGCCACACACCGCCGGGTAGCTCACCGACGTTGTGCTCGCAGGTCGATCGGACAGACAGGGGCTTGGAAGAAAGGAGTGCGGGCTTGCCTGAATATTTGCTCCCCGTACAATTGGCGCCATCTGTGGGAAAACATATTGAACAAAACCTTGTCTTCCAAGTTCATCTGATCGCCTAGCATGGCGAACAACGACGAGATTCCGTTGTCCGCCATCGACGGTGCCACCCAGGAGTTTGTCAAACGGAGAGAAGGACTCCCAGCCGTTCTAGACATGGCGGACTTAGAGACTTCTCCAAGAGGACATTCTAGAGACGCGTGGGATAAGCGCAGAAGAAGCTTTGGTCATTCGCGGAGTCCAGACGGACACCAGCGGCGGAGAGAATCGCACGCCAGACGTCTGGAACATAAGCTAAGGGACCAAGACGCCGTCATCTGGAAAATGGCGGCGGAGATGGAAGATCTTAAGTGGCATGTCAAAGGAAAGGGTGTAGCTGGAGTAGGAGACCACAGTGAGTGCACCCAACCCCGCCGTTCAGGCAGTCAGAGCCAGCGACACATCCCATCCCTCTCTATCACCAGAAGTTACAAGGTTGGAGATTCCGACATGCATGCAGAAATTCTAGCGCGCAAGATAGTACCTATCAACCCTCACGTCCGGCAACGACGTCGAGATATTCCTATTCCGCTCGCTTAGAGGACTTGCGGGCAGTCTTGAAAGAGCGGGCACGTCGACGGGAGGCTCAAAGGGTGCCGGCGCTCCAGCGGCTTTCTTACAGGGGACGTGTCAGTGAAGAGGTCGTAATGCCACCACCACGCCCAGCTGTGCCACTTCCCCTAGACACGGATTTGATAAGGCTGAGTGCCTCCCATTTTTCCCTTGAGATAGAAATCACTCCGCTCCCCGCAGGCTTCTACCAGCCAAAGTTCATGCTCTACGATGGAAAGACCGATCCATACATGCATGTAAGCCACTTCCGACAGGTTATGGCCGGTCATAGGCGGAATGACACTCTTATGTGCTTTATCTTCCTGTCAAGTTTGGAAGAGCTGGGCTTGAAATGGTTTGAGAGGCTGCCGGAGGGGAGCATCGAACGGTGGCAGCAGTTGGCGGAAGCCTTTGTGACGCGTTTCAAAACCAACACCAGGACGCCAAAGGAAGTTGACCACCTTCTTAGTGTCAAGATGGAGCCAAGCGACACACTCAAGGCATACAACTCCAGATACTGGGAAACCTTCAATGAGATCTTGGATTGCCCGGTCAACCCGGCTAACTAACATGACTTATCCCGAGCTCGGCTTGCCGGAATGCAACCGAGCTCGGTCGTCATTGAGCTTGGCGAGCGGAGCGCTCTGGCTAGCTATGCAGCACGGCCGTTGATAGCCGAGATGCTGCAGCCCGGCTGCTGAGCTCCCAGTAGTGTGGGCTGGCAGTTTGGTTAGGTAGCGTTCAGCTAGATTTGTGCTGATAGATGGGATAGCAGTACCACGTATCGAGAGACTAATGGGAGTAGATTTGGGGCACAGAAGGTATATAAGCATGTCTGCGCCCCCATGCCGTGACAGATGAACATTGGGTGAGACTTACACTAAACACTCAACTCTTTCCTCTCTCTCTCTCTCGATCCCTGTGTGTGTTCTAACTTGATCGTCGGAGGGGTTTCCCGGCCATACACCGCCGGGTAGCTCACCGACGTTGTGCTCTCAGGTCGATCGGACAGACAGGGGCTTGGAAGAAAGGAGTGCGAGCTTGCCTGAATATTTGCTCCCCATACAATTGGTGTCGTCTGTGGGAAAACATATTGAACAAAACCTTGTCTTCCAAGTTCATCTGATCGCCTTGTATGGCGAACAACGACGAGATTCCGTTGTCCGCAATTGACGGTGCCACCCCAAAGTTTGTTAGACGGAGAGAAGGACTCCCAGTCGTTCTAGACATGGCAGACTTAGAGACTTCTCCAAGAGGACATTCTAGAGACGCATGGGATAAGCGCGGAAGAAGCTTTGGTCATTCGCGGAGTCCAGATGGACATCGGCGGCGGAGAGAATCGCACGCCAGACGTCTAGAACATAAGCTAAGGGACCAAGACGCCGTCATCCGGAAAATGGCGGCGGAGATGGAAGATCTTAAGCAGCATGTCAAAGGGAAGTGTGTAGCTGGAGTGAGAGACCACAGTGAGTGCACCCAACCTCGCCGTTCAGGCAGTCAGAGCCAGCGACACATCCCGTCCCTCTTTATCACCAGAAGTTACAAGGTTGGAGATTCCGACGTGCATGCAGAAAAGTCTAGAGCGCAAGATAGTACCTTTCAACCCTCACGTCCGGTAACGACGTCGAGATATTCCTATTCCACTCGCTCAGAGGACTTGCAGGCAGTCTTGAAAGAGCGGGCACGCCGACGGGAGGCTCAAAGGGTGCCGGCACTCCAGCGGCTTTCTTACGGGGGACGCGTCAGTGAAGAGGTCGTAATGCCACCACCACGCCCAGCTGTGCCACTCCCCCTAGACACGGATTTGGTAAGGCTGAGCGCCTCCCCTTTCTCTCTTGAGATAGAAATCACTCCGCTCCCCGCGAGCTTCCACCAGCCAAAGTTCACGTTCTACGACGGAAAGACTGATCCATACATGCATGTAAGCCACTTCCGACAGGTCATGGCCGGTCATAGGCGGAATGACACTCTTATGTACTTTATCTTCCTGTTAAGTTTGGAAGAGCTGGGCTTGAAATGGTTTGAGAGGCTGCCGGAGGAGAGCATCGAACAGTGGCAGCAGTTGGCGGAAGCCTTTGTGACGCGTTTCAAAACCAACACCAGGACGCCAAAGGAAGTTGACCACCTTCTTAGTGTCAAGATGGAGCCAAGCGACACACTCAAGGCATACAACTCCAGATACTGGGAAACCTTCAATGAGATCTTGGATTGCCCGGTCAACCTGGCAATCACATAACATAAGTGTGGTCTCCCGGTCGGACATAGATTGCGGGACTCGCTTACCATGCACCAGCCGACATCTATGGGCCAACTCATGCAGCGCATCAACGAGTACATCCGAGTAGAAGATGATGCGGCAGCATCTACCGCGAAGGCAACTCCATTAGCAGCAGACAAGAGGTCGGCTGGCAAGGTGCACGCGGTCGGACAGGAGGCTAGCCGTTCAAATGATCGCGCCAATGAGTCCGACCGAGGTTCAAATCGTTGAAACCGGGGTAGAGGTCGGCGGAATGACCGAGATGAATACCCCTACGACGACGAAGCTGATGCAAATAGAAGGCTGAAAGTTCGGACGGGCATCACCACGGTCTTTAAGATCCTAATCTATTGCATACTTAGTGAAATCCGCGACAAGGATTATGTCCGGTTTCCTGCTAAGTTAGGCGATGCGTAAAAAGGCTTCAACCCGCGGTACCACTGCACATTTCACCGGGAGTGCGGACACTGGGCAGAGGACTGTTTGCCTCTGAAGCAACACTTGGAGGAGCTAGTCACAGCCGGACACTTGGACCTCTACATTGATGGGGGAGTGAAGGCCGCACATCAAGCCCCGGGTGACCCGCGTGGACAGGATGACCAGGAGGTGCCCCCACAAGGGGTTGTTAATGTCATCCACGGTATTGTAGAGCCGGCGCGTGTATGCGAGCTCCAAGGTATGATCAAGAAGGCGGAACACATAAGGGAAGTTTTGTCGGTCTAGCCTGCGATCAAGAGGGGGAAGGTCGAAGAGAAATACGTG